GATTGCTCATAGGGACAGATTTGATTTTATGGAAGGATTTTTCACAGTCCTTTGTCCATTCAAATTTAACCCTCTTTTGTAAAAGATTTGTAAGTGGACTAACAACTGAGGAAAAATTTGGACAAAATTTTCTGTAAAACCCAGCCATGCCCAAAAACCTCATTAATTCTTTCTTGTTTGTAGGAATCGGGAACTTTGCAATAGCTTCCACTTTAGCCATTATGGGTGTAACATAACCTTGACCTACTTTATGACCTAAATACTCTACATAAGCATGACAAAATTCGCTCTTCTTAAGATTCACAGTTAAGTTTGCTTTAGCTAAAATGTCAAATAAAGCACGCATGATTCGGAGATGTTCGTCCCATGTGTTGCTGTATATGACGACATCATCAATGTAGGCCTCGCATCCCTCAAGGTCTTGAAGAAGGGAGTGAATCATCCTTTGGAATGTTGCCGGTGCGTTTTTCATGCCAAAAGGCATTACTTTATACTGGTAAAGTCCATCTGGTGTAGCAAAAGCAGATATTTCTTTTGCTCTTTCTGTTAACGGCACTTGCCAGTAGCCTTTCAACAGGTCAAATTTACTGACAAATTTGGCGTTTCCAATGTTGTCAATACAGTCATCGATTCTAGGTATTGGGTATGAATCAGTTTTGGTAACAGAATTCACCTTTCTAAAGTCTGTACATAATCGGTACGAACCGTCTTGTTTTGGTACAAGAATACATGGTGAGCTCCAATCACTTTTACTAGGTTCAACAATGTCATTGTCCAACATGTACTGCACTTCCCTTCTTAGGTACTGCAATTTTATTGGATTCAGACGGTACGGATGTGGCAGAACGTCACTCACTATGACATCATGACAAGCTGCATTAGTTTTCTTTGGAACATCCGAAAAGATTTGATGATACTCATTCATCAAGTTTTTAACTTGTTCTTTTTGATGAATGTTCAAATGTCCAAGTTTGGCATCAAAATCAGCCAAAATTTCTGAGTTTTTCAAACGAACACTCTGATTACAATCTTTCTCATTCATCTCTACACTCGTATCATTCTCAATACAATTTTGAACAGTCTTAGCGTTGGCTAAAGTGGAAACTGGTTTTACAGAATTTCGGTCACACCTTTCAAAATACTCTTTTAACATGTTAATGTGACAAACCCGTTTCTCTTTACGTCGACCTGGTGTCTTAACTACATAGTTTACATCACTAATCTTGCTTTCAATTTCATAAGGGCCATAAAATCTGGCCTGTAAAGGATGACCAGGAATAGGTAAAAATACAAGAACCTTATCACCTGGCTTAAACACCCTATTTCTAGCATCTTTGTCATACCACATTTTCATTTTTAACTGAGAACTCTTCAAATTTCCTTGTGCTAATTTACAAGCATTGTAAAGTTTTTCTTTGAAATCAGACACATAATCTAAAAGATTAAGATCACTAGTCTCAGTCAGCCACTTTTCCTTCAGCAATTTCAAAGGACCTCTAACTGTATGACCGAACACCAATTCAAAAGGACTGAACCCAAGAGACTCCTGGACTGCTTCTCGTGCAGCAAATAGCACAAGATGAACCCCTTCGTCCCATTCTTTTTCATACTGGTAACAATAGGTCTTCAGCATTGTTTTTAAGGTTTGATGAAAACGTTCTAGCGCTCCCTGAGACTCAGGATGATAAGCAGTTGATCTATATTGCCTTATACCCAACTCATGCATGACTTGCTGGAACAACCCCGACATAAAATTTGAGCCTTGATCCAACTGAATTGCCTTGGGTGCTCCTACAAAACTGAAAAACTTGGTTAGGGCCTTAACTATGCTCTTTGCCTTTATATTCCTTAGAGGTATGGCTTCAGGAAATCGAGTGGATGTACACATAATGGTAAGTAAATACTGGTTTCCAGTTCTGGTCCTAGGCAAAGGTCCTACACAATCCACCAACACTCGACTAAACGGTTCTTCAAAAGCTGGAATGGGTTGGAGAGGAGCAGATGGTATCTTCTGATTTGGTTTACCTACCATCTGACAGACATGGCATGACTTGCAAAACTTCGAAACATCCTTTCTTAGCTTAGGCCAATAAAAATGACTCAAAATCCTATTATAAGTCTTATTGATACCTAAATGACCAGCCATAGGTGTATCGTGAGCTAAACTCATGACATCTCGACGATAAGCAGCTGGGACCACAATCTGGTGAACAACACGCCACACTTCATCTGGAGAAGCATCAGGTGGTCGCCATTTTCGCATAAGGATGCCATCTTTCATATAGAAGCATTCTCCAACTTTAGTAGCCTCTTCTGGTGGAAGTGCCCTCTTACTAAGTTGAATGATATCTGGGTCTTTATGTTGTTCAGAGAGTAAACGTTCTCGGCTGAGGATGTCCTTGCCTTGGCTAACTAGTGGATGCAACTCATCATCCTCACCACCAAGTTTTGGTAACAGTTCTTTCTGCTCTTGCTTCTTGATATTGTGTGGTTCCTTGTTGGTTTGAGTGCCATCAAGGTCAGATAAGAAAGTGTCATTCAAATCAATATCAACAGAGGAATTCGTTTTGTCAAAGGCTTGAGTATGGTCTGCCTCCATTTCTCGTCTTCTGGCCATCGCTCTAGTAACAGCACAGGCTGGATAAATGTCATCATCTTCATCATCGCACATGACATCTGGATTGATTTTCTCACAAACTATAGGATCTGGTACAACTTTTCCACCAGCTAAATCATTGCCTAGCAGCAAAGAAATGCCTGGAACGGGAAGAGTAGGTCGAACACCTACGATAACAGGTCCAGTAACTAAATCCGACTTCAAACTAATTCTATGCAGGGGAACATCAATGACGCCTAGCTCCACACCCTGTAATAAAACTGACCCACCAGTAGAAGTCTGCTCAGACAAAGGAAGCACGCCCTCTAACAATAACGTCTGTGCAGCACCAGTATCTCTCAAAATCTGGACAGGTTTTATTTCGCTAGAGTCACCGAGTGAAACAAATCCCTGAGACATAAAGGGCTTATAATCCTCCATAGAATCAATAGCACTGGACTGTGAACCCTGGACATCAGGAGTGTCAGAACAAATCGAAACTAAGGCTTCTCTATCACCTCTAACTGCCGCACAAGCGTGTGGTTGAGTTTTATCAAAATCATTTTTTCTCTTGAGTTTAAAGCATTCACTGATCAGATGACCCTTTTTCTTACAATAACTACAAGTAGGAAGCGACCCTATTCCAGACGATCCTTCAACACGTCCTGGACCGGACTTAAAACCACCTTGGGATGGAGACTGGGAACTTGTGAAAGACTGAGACCCTGAACCACTCTTTTTATATGTGTCTGAATTGGTAGAATTACTGCTAGTCTGAGATCTTGAAACAAAATTCTTTTTATGAGACAGAGCATAAGTATCAGATATGACTGCTGCCTCTTCAAGAGTTTTCACATTCTTATCTTCTAAATGTGTTTTCAAATCTTGAGGAACACACTCCTTAAACTCTTCTACCAGGATGACTTGGCGCAAATTAGCAAAAGTTTTATCAAGTTTCTTGGATCTAAACCAGTGATCGAATAAATCTTCTTTCTCTCGTGAAAATTCAACAAATGTTTGATTATCAAACTTTCTATACTTTCTAAACTTTTGTCTATATGCTTCAGGTACTAATTCATATGCTTTTAATATTGCTGCTTTGACCTTCTCATAGTCTGAACTCTCAACTACCCCTAGTGCAGAGTATACCTCAGCCGCTTTTCCAACCAGTACACTTTGTAACATTGTTGACCAAACGTGTTGTGGCCATTTAAGATTCTCTGCGACTTTTTCGAATTGGGGAAAATATTTGTCTACAGATTTTTCTTGAAATTTCGGAACTAACCTAATGTTTTTTGCTGCGTCAAATTCAGTTTTGACAACTGACGGTTCTGGTTGGTTTTGTAATTTTAATTTCTCTAATTCAAAGTTCATTGCACGCTCTTCTCTTTCTGCTGCTAATTTGTCTAATTCAAATTTTCGTTCACGCTCTCGTTCTTCTCTTTCTCTTTCTCGCTCTTCTCTTTCTTTTTCTCGATCTTCTCTTTCTAATTTTTCTCTTTCTAATCGCATTTTCTCTAACTCTAATTGAAACTGATATTCTGCCATTTTGTAAGAGCCTAACTCTGATTTAACTGTATATTCTGGAAGATCGTATTTTTCAAAGATGTTTTCTTCTACTAGTTTGTTTGCAACCTTAATTCTAATGTCTTGCTTTCTCTGAGAGGATTTAACATCTAACCCAAAATGCAAACCTAATGCGATCAAGTCATCCTTTTTTAACGTATCAAAAACCTGAACACTTGGTGAACTAAGAAAGTCTGTGACCGAAAACACCATGTTGATTTCTGCTGGCTTATAATTTAATTTAACAAAAAATTAATGAGCAAAATTATGACAATAAACTGCAAAAGTGCAAAAATTCTTTATCCCGGACGAGCCCCCAATTCTGTTATGGGTCAGAATAACCCTAAATGCCAGCAAAGATCAATAACACAATTTAAACTTAACAATAATTTATTTACAGTAATATATAATAAGTATATGAAACATAAAGTACAAACTTAGCAAGAATCTAAGAATACATACATCAGAGTGTCCGTTGCTGCACACAATGTCCCAGTGAAATTATATCCCATTTATATCTCAATAGTGCTTATACGACAAAGTATCCACAATTATTGTATATCTATGCATTGAATTGACAGGGTATTTATACAGTATTATAAATCTAGAATATTCTAGAAAATGTTAAAACATGATATTACTGGAACAATCTGGACATACACAAAATTTAAGAATGTTCTAGATAAAATGACCAAACATGTTGACCACTCTGGAATGTTCAAGAAACTTAATGTTACTAATTATATATACATAATAAAACAATACACATCTCGCAACAGTAAGCATTCTTTTGTGAAAACCTTACGTATTGAACCATATATGAATATATTGTGTTTACCTGTCTAAAAAGACAACGTCTTCTCTTAGAAATTTACACTTGTCCTTTGGCCACAAGATTCTGATTAAAGAGTTTTCTTTCAGCTTAACTTTACTCAAAGCTGAGGCCAACTGTTTTATATCCTGTAAAAGACATGATGTTTTTAAAAATAAAATCATATTTGTGAAACAATTCACACCCCTTATTTTCGATCTTCTGTAACACTTTTAATAATGAAGACAGAAAAATATCCAAAGAACACAACACAATAAATCCTTTATCTTTACAGCATATTTTATAAATAATCTTTTTACCAAAAATAATTTTTCTACATCTGAAATGTCTGAAATGATTACATGGATGCTCTTTTGTTGGTCGGAGTCCTCCGTTAACAGGAATCCCTCTGACGACTCGCAGCCCTCCACCTGGATAAAACAGTGAGTCGTATGCCCGATCCCACTCGGCATTATCTTGTTTCTCAACATAGCATTGATTGTCGTACTCTTTCCATTGGAGGTTCTAAAGATTAGATTACAGAGTTTTAAATACTATCACATAAATAAATAAAGCAGATAGTATATACTGGGTATGAATATGATAACTAGTAATTATAATTCCTAACAAACACGATTTCAAAAACAGATTCATATTAGTAAACCCGGCAAGTGACAAAGCAATCAAAGTTAGATCATTTCTTATGAGTATCTTGAAATGTCATACCTTCCAAAAAACACCACTTTCATGTGGTTCCTGGTAAGTACTTCAATTATTCCGTTAATCATGTTTCCAAACTCATTAACTTGTTTTGCACTTTCACATTGGCATTTCTCAGGCAACTCTGCCAAAAACATGAAAAAAATTGTTCTACATCTTTTTGTTATGCATTCATAATCTGATATAAACCATTGCCTATACAAGTATAGAGTTATCTTTGCTTGAATTTTGAGTAAAACTAAATGTCAAAATACATCAAGTAAAATAGTCTAGCATTTCAAAATGAATTTACTTACAAGTATCACAATACATGTACAAATGTATATATATTTTTTAAAGAGTGGGACAAAACATTTTTTATCAACTCTGAAGAAATCACAACAGCATGTCAGACCATACCTTTAAGAAACACTTGTGATTCCCTGACATAATCTGCAATGTCTTGGAACACATCATTGATGCTTTTCTTGGCCTCAGCAAAAAATTTCAGTGGTGACTGGGACCTTGCATGTTTGCCATTTCCCAGACTCCTGTGGTCCTTCCTGTCCCCCTGTCCCCTCTGTGATTCATCCATTGAATATGTTTTATCTAATTTTCCTGACATGGTACTTTAATGCATTTCTGAAAATTTAAACACAATTTTTATTGTTTTTTTTTCAAAATGAAAGATTGGTAATCATGATAATGCAAATACATATTTGTAAGTTGAGGAACTCCACAGGATGTCTTCAAATCATTAAGTTCACAATTAGAGGAAATTCGAAATAATTTTAGCTGTCATATTCCCCATTTCTGATTCGATATAGATTTATCAATGAAGATAAATATACTCAATGGTAAGAAATACAAAAAAAAATTATCTGCATTCTTTTTTTTTTTACCACAATTTAAAAACACACAAGAAAATTAAAAACATCCTTGCATAACTAATAATAACAACTGAAGGACACAGACTGAAACTGAAAGCAAATTTAGTCTTCGTTTCTTACCTGTATGATGTTAATGTCTCTGAATAGGGAATATATTAGCGTTTGATATTAAACAAGTGCTTCTTACGCTCTTTTGATAAAAAGCATCATACATCACGCAACCCCATGCCTTTCCCCAATTTTTTTTTCTGATAATGAAACCGAAAGTTCGAAAATTAACTCATACGCAGTTGCTTTGTTGATGGGTTTTATTTGTCAAATTGAATGGGGAATTGATCAACTTGTTAAACACAAAACTCACTGATCTTTAGTTTTAAAATCTTTGATTTAAGAAATAAAAAAGATTAGTGTCGAAGAAAAAATAAAACAAAAACAAGCAAGTTCTGATAGCTTCATTTCTCATATTAGTGTAAACCCAATATTACAGTCGACGTCTCTTAAACGTTTAAGTTTAAAGATTTCATAACATGCAGTGGAAGATATATTTCAACGAAGAATCTACAAAACTCAACGTTCAAGCCGCAACGGCAATGAAATTCAGTGAATCAAGCAGATAGATAGGTAATGAAATCAAAATTAACTTTTAAGTATATGGAAATAGAGCTATATTGAGTATTGTAAATCCTTCTACGCTTTGCTACAGGACATTTTGATGATCAATTAATTGTCTTCTTTTTTAAAGTTTATAAAGTTTAAAACAACCTTATTTATTTTGATCACCCCAACACCATAAAATTTACAGTGATGGTCAAAAGGAAGGACGACCAGGGTTGCTTTGAATATCATAGAGGTTATTTTTTAAATCTTGGGGACCTCTATGTTTAATTAAGTTTATTTAGCAATAGTAGTTAATTTTGATAAAAATTTTACAAGGTGTAAAAGTTATTTGGAGACACTACATGTCAAGTCAAAGAAGCAAATTAAAGTTATGAGACGAGTGTTATTTATTTTACAGTATTGTACAATGTATATTTCTATTTTATCGAATTTGAATGGAAAGGAAGAAAACAAATTAATAGAATGTCCTCCCCAGAAGTGGAGAAGTTTGAGATAACAGAAGATGACCTCGCCAATGAATTTTATCCTAGAGGTGGCAGGAGACAAACAAAAAATCAGGCCATCTATGGTAAGAAGGGTACCAGTACATATTCCAAATAGATAGTGTTGTTTCCTGAATAGGGCTGGGTATTGGCCCGAAATTTCGTACTGCGATATATTGCGATATTTGTAACTGTATTGCGATATGTATTGCAATATTTTCAATGTAATAAAAATGGCATTTTCTTACTATATTTTATAAAATTACTTTAATTTACATGCAGAATGTACATAACTATGATAAGTAAACAACACAAAAAAAAATCTGGTTGATTTCATTTAAGTTATGCTCTGAAATGTTCCCACAAAACAACTTAGTGTTTGGCTTAATTACAAACTTTCATAAGTCCATTTTTTTATTTGATGACAAAACTCCTTAATCTAAAAATATTGCCAATATATCGATATTACAAAATCGTATTGCGATACGATATTTTTTGTCATTGTATTTCAATATATTGAAATATCGATATTATTGCCCAGCCCTATTCCTGAAATAAAATCTTGGGGGAATTCATGTCATAATAATATCTAGGTATGCACACTGTCGGACTTGCTTAAGATGTTGGATCTAACCAACATTTTCTGGATGAGTGACGTTCGTCTCACTTAGAAAATCTTTTATAGATACTTTTAAAGATGGCAATTGGATATAATTTATTGAGCTTACTGAAATACCTCCAATGTGAAACATTTTTGATTGATTTGAAAATACACATGTAATACTATATTTTTAAGAATTTCAATATATCTATTCATGATCATTTGGAAATGAAATATATTTTTTTGAGATAGATCAATGTTTGTAATCTTCACTTTTACCTTTCTAAGGAATGTGGGCCACCAGTGATGATGAGGAAGAAGCCCCTGGATTTCGGAGTGGGAGGAGGAAGAAGAAGGATTACACGATGCCCATAGGTTTTGTCAGTGGAGGAATCAAGCAGGGCTCAAAGATCAAGAAAGAGGGAGAAGAAGATGATTCTTCAGTAAGGATATTTATATCTATTAACCTGAATTTATGTCTGATAAATGAATAAGAAGATTGCGTTAACTGATGATTTTTTTATAGGACTCTGATAAAGAAATTCAAGTAGTACAAATGCCAGTCCAGCAATCTTCTACCAGATCAAACCGTCCTCAAGGCAGGCAGGGGAAACAGTTTGCAGGTTTTGGGAAAGGAGAAGTGTAAGTACAGTATATCACTTTTAACTTGTGAGAACTTTATTTTCTTATACTAGTGCAAAACAGTTTACTTGTGAAAATTTCAATCTCTCATATATTTGTTATGGTGATTTACAGAATGATACAGAGATAGTGTAGTCAAATGTTAAAGATCCATCATTTTATTTTGAAATTCATGTATTGTGTGTTTCATCTTGTGGATAGTTCTTTCAGAGTTACAGATACATGTGTGTAAGTGTTCATGAGCATTGTATTTTAAATCTAAAAATGTTTGTTTTGCAGAGGATTTGGAGAATGGGAAAGACACACTAAAGGTTTTGGGAAGAAGTTACTCGAAAAGGTAAATGCTAAGTACACATAGTTTGTCTACATTGAGGGTTCTCTAAAAATTTACCTCTACTGTACATGTATTTGAAGATATTTGATTTTGTTGTTGTACATGTAGATGGGTTTTAAACCTGGAGAAGGGCTGGGAAAGCATGGTCAAGGTATCACTACACCAGTGGAGGCAGTGAAGCGGAAAGGTAAAGGAGCCATTGGTGCCCATGGAACAGAGAGGTCAGAAAGGTCATTGGTCGATTTTCCCGTACACGATCCTGACGAGGAGCAAGAGAAAAAGTTTAGGGAGGAACTTTCTCAGTGGAAAAAGAAACCAGAGGTAAGGGCAGATACAACGCTTTAAGCACATATCTTCTAATGATTCCATAGTCTGATTTACAAATACCGCGGTAATGTTGATAAAGTCTGTCGAGTTTTAAGACTTCAAATTTTTTTTAAATCCTGTTCATCAGAACTTCTACTAACCAAATTGATGTTAATTTATCAGGTTGGCAAGAAGAAACCAAAGTATGTCTACAAAACAGCACAAGAAATTATTGAGTCAGGGGTGGGGAAAAAGAAAAGTGCCCCTTCCAAATCATCAAAAGTCAAGGTCATTGATATGACTGGAAAAGAAAAGAGGGTCCTGTCAGGTATGATGAGTACACATGGATATTCTAAAAAAAAATAATGTAAAATCAAATTCACGTTAATTTTATATAGTACTTCCCATTTAAATACATAGGGAATGACACTACTTAATCAGAGTTGCCCTTGCTTATATTAGTTCATGCACTGGTAAATAATTGGTATCCATTGACTTTCTATAGTCATATCCTCATTTCTGTTTGATTAAAACAATTTTATATGATAAACCATGTCAGAAATCAATGCCAGTAAATGTGTCCTTGTAGGATATCATGCAATAGCCACCAGACACAACCGGCCTGATGAAGAAGAGGAGCTAATGGAAGCAGAGCTGGGGCAGAAGAAGGCATTTGAGATGCCAGAGTTGATGCATAATCTGAACATTCTGGTGGACATGGCTGAAGAAGACATCATTACCAATGATAGGAAGTAAGACCTTCTACCTTTTAGGAAAGATTTATCTCAACAGAAATATGTATTTCTTTTTGTCAAGCTGAAAGTACATGTAACTTATTGTTTGAGGACTGATCTGGTTCAATGTTCGAAAGACAGTATTTAGAGCAAAACTAGTCATAAAAAAGTTTCAATGTTGAACTGCCATTTTACTGAGATCATGTGTGAAGCAGTTCATATCAATTGTGTGAATTTTATTTATTGATTGACTGACTACAAATGTATTGTATTAAAGGTTACGGTATGAGAAGGATCACATTGTGAACATGAAGCATGAACAAGAACGACTGGATACAATCTGTGAACAAGAAGAAGCTCAGATACAGAAACTGAAAAAAGTCCTGGATATCGTCAGAATGTTAGTAACATGGCTTCATTTACATTGTATCCACCAAAAACATCAACAGACACATCTTAAATATACATTTATCTGTTATTTAGTAGTTTCATTATAAATCATATTCTTCTTTGTAAGCAATTTATAGAAAAGTTTTTAGCTCCTCCTTGTTAAATTTTGAGAGTTTGGCTAAAAAGACTAGGTTTTTATATCCTTTCTTCATATTCTCCTTGATTTGCAGGTGTGAAGAGAGAACCCAGCCTGGATGTGACAATCCTATGGAGTTAGATGAGTGTGCTGCCATTTTTCAGTCCCTGCAGAGAGATTTCTATGAGGAGTACAAGATGTATGACCTATCCTCACTGGCTGTGGCTCTCGTCTTCCCTCTGGTTTGTTCTCATTTAATAGTGCCTGCAAAATTTGTCTGTTCAATAACATGTTCTTTATTTAGGGAAATTTTTGCCCCTCCTTATTTCATTCCCTGACATCAGATGGCAATTCGTTAAACACAGATGGAGTTATTTATATTTAAAGTGAGTAAATGAAAAATTCTTCAATATTTTTAGATGAGAAAACATTTCTCAACATGGGACCCTTTAAAGGACCCTGGATTTGGACTGAACACGATTCAACAGTGGAAGGACCTGCTAGAGGATTACAATAATCAGTATGCCGGGAACTTCAGTGATATGGATGTCTTCCAGAGGCTCCTATGGGATGTGTGGCTACCTTATCTCAGAACCACCATACTGTGAGTGTAGTCAAGTTTTCTGTCCAAAAATAAATCATACTGACAAATCATTGATATACATGTACTAACCTAATGCTCGTAATTTTTCAACAAATTTCTATCAAAATGAATATTATGTTAATATTTCTTGTTTTATTTAATTTATAGAAAAATGGTTACAGATATCAATTTCATAACTTTTTGCTATCAAATTGAGTAAATACCTTGGTTTTCAGAAAGGTTAGATCAAAGTATTTTCCCCCCTAACTTTCAGCTTTGAAACAATCCCAAAGTTAAACTAGTGCACAACAAACATTAATTGGTACAGTGCAAAGGACTAACTTTGGTTAAACCATTTTATCATTATACATGTACAAATACTTAACAGTTGCCTCTTATTCATTTTTCAAATTAATTCTTTGTAGAAAGTGGAATGTAAGGGCTTGTA